CGCCTCCCGCAATCACGTACTTGTCGCGTTTTCATCACCTGCTCGCTAAAAGTGACGTAATTACGGATGCAAATCGATCAACAGCAGTTATCAAGTCGACGAGGGTTGACGCTGGAAATTAGCGCGATACGCCAGTTAATGTTTATAGCCTTCCGCGATTTAGCGAGTACGGTATTTACGACGATGTAGCAGACAAGCAAGGTGTGCAGTTACGAGCCTCTTAGGTACTATACTAACCTGCTGATTTGTATTTTCTATAAAACTTTAAGACGCAAAATGAACTTGATTGGTCGGAAAGTAGATCACGTATTCAGTTTTTTAGCATTTATGCATTTATAAAGAAACCTGTTAATCTGTCGACATATTGTTAATACTCAATGTTCAATAATAGGGACCTTCTTTTTATAGATTTTTAATTACGTTTTAATGAATATTTTCTCTTTTTCGGATTTATACAATAAATATTACTAATAAAATAGTATAAATAGAACTTTTATGCAAAGAGATCGGTGAAAACAAAGCATAAGTATACGAAGTTGATCGATGTCGGAAGCGTGGATTCCATCGCTCATTCGAATGACTTGCAACTAGTGAACATGCTCTCATTGACTCCGCCATTGACCTCGCGTCAGCCAGACTTAGCGATCACAATAATATAAATTATAGTACAACATCCGTCTCGTGGGTATTAACAACAGTAAACACAATAACGTAACATAAGACAGAACTTAACAGATCGGCCCCAGGGGTAAAGAAGGGTGCCAAGCACGACTGGAACCAATTATTTGTAAATAAGATGGCCCATTGTCATCTACTTGGTACTTGCTTTAGTAACGATTTTAGGATTTACGAAATGCACATGTGAATTCAAAGGGGCATTATGTTAATCACAAAGCCAATACGCATTCAAGTTGGAGAGAATGCGACAAGTGACTAGTTATAATGTAACAAACATGTACGACGGCGGCTCGGAGGCAAACGGTGATGTAGATAATTGTTATTCAGGTTGTTCTAACACAGGTACAAAAGCAAACTATCTTGTGTCTGGTGCTCCAGTTGAGTGAATGAAGTGTAACGTTTCATTAACAGAGGTCTGTGGCCCAAGCAAACACCGCATATCGGTGTCTTGTTTCAAAAGTTTTTTCCAACATAGTGAAAGGCACCCGCGTCTCCTTAAAAGCCTTGTGGACTGTGTTCGTTAGCACGCCTTTACATACGGAATATAGCCCTCAATGGGAAAAAAACCTCTTAGAAACGAGCACAAGTGCCGGTAAAACTTATTTGTTTGAATCCCTAATTGAGGACTAACGTTGAGTTTTGATCACTTCCTATTTAAATAACAATCAATCATATTACTACTACCTTTATAGTCGATCGACATTGACTTGATCATTTTGTAAAGGTTGATATTCCATATAAAGTAAGAGATAAATGTTTAAGTACCTCTCAGGATGATTTCTTGCTCACAAATTTGCTGACGAGTCGAGGCGATTATATGTAGTTGGCTACATTTCATAGTGCGTTAGAGACGAGTGCTTGTGAGTGAATTAAGAAGAATTTATGTGTTAGCGCGGCTTGGCTCGGGCTGCACTGACGACAGCGGCATTAAGACAACAAAGGGTGATATTTTTCGTGGACAAACATTAAGGGCTTTAAACACGACAGACAGGTGATGCACCCACACGATGCATATTTATGATGTGTTCGACAGCTAGTACGACACTAGGAATTATGAGAAGCTAACATTTGTAGAATTTACTTGCACGTATAAACATCATAAATAATCCAGTGCGGACCTAGAGAGACTTAGTAGGAAAAACTAATTTTAGACTTTTAAATGAAAATAAATACAATTATATTTATATAATTAGATAGGAATTGGAGACATAGGGCACCTAACTTTTATAGTTGGGAAAATAATCAACACAGGTCGTGCTCTGTACTATCGGACTGTATGTATCTGTAGCCATATAATTACCTAGTCAATCTAATACAGGTTATAAAACGAAAAAAATAAATCAAAATGGCCGCCTGGGCTAGTGATTCACACGTTGCGGTTTCTCTGGCTATTTGTGACTAAACAAAACGATCTGTGAGAAATCATTCATGGTCCCTCCCTGCACTGCCATCCACCAATCCGAAAAAAATATTTCATTGCCATAACGACAAGGTGTTAGTTTGATACAAGGGATATTATGCCGCCTAATTTGTACTTTGTAGCATCGAAAAGGTTATTAAGCTTTGACTCAACCATTCGTTTTTGGAACGCGTCATTTTTGCCAGTATACCTACCTGCTTTAGTGTGGTGGGAAATAAGGCAGGCTATAAAAATCAAGCATTAAGTGGTCTTATTTTAGCTTAAATGATTTTGTGTGCCGTTTAAGTCGTCGGCCCGGCTAAACAGATCTGCGACAATAATAAATGTACTCGGCCCGGCACTAAATTTCAATGTTTACACTTTTTAAAATGTTTACAATGTTAATCTTATGATAGTTAATGAAATGAAAACACATTTTATACAGACGTAGATACATTGTTCATAGGTCAATTATAGAAATAGCATTCTTCATACATAGTTCGCGATACAGGATACAGGTAACATGTCTACGGTGCCTGCGTGAACCCTTACCCAACACCCTCGTGTAGAGATCTCGTGGGTTCGCGTGAACAAAATGAACGGTCGGTGTCATAAAAAATGCCCTTAAACTATTTGTTGTGGTTTCCACAAAAAGACAAAAAACGGGACATCAAAAACCAGTCAGCATTGGTCGGCTTTTTCGACTCCAGTGGCCTTGTACAAAAAACTATGTGTTAAGGAATGTAAAGAGCCATTTAATTATCCTAATATATTGTTATGGTCGCGGAGGAAGGTTATAAATTAGCGGTAAGTCCCTACTAGGACAAGGTGGCGAATGGTGATGCGCCATGCCACGTTGCCACCAAGAGTATGGAACCACCATTTAGATAATATATTGAAGATAAAATATTAGCGGTGTAATATTTTATTACTTCGTCGTGTAGTTTAAGTGGTATTTAGGGTTGCGCTGGTATCTAATAATTCCCGTGCGTGCAAGTGTAAGCTCAGTCTCGGCCCGCAGACAGCACTCGGCGTTCTCACGTTACTACAGCCGCAGTTTCAGTGCGATGATCCTGAGAGTTTTTATTCCATTTTTACCTCAGTTCCATCGAGCGGCCTTCATTATGCGTCCGCAAGTGCTTCGGTCGCCACCGGTTCAGGTAGCTTTGAGTTTCGCTTGAAAACTTGACCTTAGGTATTCGATACGCTTGTTATATTTTTTGTTAATCAATATAATTGAATATGAGCTTTTGATGTGGTGTAATTTGATAATTTGCGAAAATAAATTTACGTAAATTGACTTGGTCATAAAAACTGGTTTAATATACGAATCTTATTGGATGTGTAAGTTCATGGTATACATATGTGAGAGTATATCGAGTCGATGATAATCGTGATATTAGGCTACGTAGGTATCGGTCGGGACAGGGCGAGGTGTCGGAGGCAGGGCTCCCCGCTGCGCGTGAGCATTGTGATCGACAGCTTGTTTACTAAAAATATGCATAATGAATTTATAATAGCCTATCGTGCCTGCTATGTCGCCTCGCCCCTCCAAGCCCATCTCAGTAATGCTCCATCTAACTCTCTATGAATGTACAAATCAGTACCTGCTTACAGTTTATACAAAACTGGCATTAAGTTAGGTTAAGAAATATATCTTCTCAAGATACAATTTAACTCATTCTGTTTAAGGTTCCCCAAGAAAGAATGTTGGTGTTACCATGGTGAGAGATGCTTAATTGCGCCACCGATGCGATGTGTTCCCACGTTTAAATGCAGCAAGTGTTTGTACAAGCATTTAGCATTCGATTGTTTTAGTGCGGACCGAGACGTCTGCGGGGAAGCAAACATTGAGCTTCCTGAGCGAGCACAACGGTCTCCCCCACAATTCACGCCGATGTCTTTGTCAATTTTGTAGTTAGATACTTATATACGACATCATTTAATAAGACTATAAGATTATTTGCAACAAGAAAAATGTAATCTCCTCTTACTTGAGGAATTTCGATGCCGTGAAATGTCAAAAAATAAAAGCATGGCCAACGATGCTAAATATGTCGCAGTTCTCGCAACTCTTTATTAGGCGGTTGAAACGTTCGTCGAAGTAATTATATACGGTGCTTGAAACTATCTGTCGTATGAATGTGGTCGGATACACCGGCCAGGCGGGGCGCCCGGCCCGGTTCCTAGCCTCGATTCGTTACGTCAATCTCGGATTTTTTTACACACAAATCTGCATAGAGTGAGTTGACATCGCGCAACAAAGCCGCCACGCGGTGCCTCGAGCTTTGTCCGCATTTCTTTATAAATATTTTGACATTTCCCTCATTCGTCCCGCGGAGCTTGTTCACAAACAAATCGTGTGGATCCTTTTGTGCAGCGTGTGTAATTTGATTTATTCTTTGACGACAAACGTCCGACATCCTGTGTTGTGAGGCGTTGGTGCTGGGGCGGCGGCGTTTGTCGATTTGTTAGCACTTCTATTGGGATTTTCTTTAGTAGGTGTAAATAAAAAGTTTCGCATGTCTTTAGAGCGTCGATATTGTTTCTTAGAGGTGCATTGAGTGCGCACTCCACTTACGGACCTTTTAGGTGGTCGACGCGAATTGCGATGTAAATATTAGATATCATGATGTTTGCTCAGGGCTGTTAACACGTGGAGCACAAATTGTTACAATATGCGCGGATATTCGCGTTCCTTTGAATTCTGTAAACGTTGTAAACGCGTGCGTTGTTGAATCATTGTTTATGTCTGGGCGTCTACAATCTTTGGGCGAAAGGAGTTATAGGTACAGATGCTAGAGTCAAGTCTGTGCTCTCTTACGTAAATGTTATTCAAAACGTAGCATTTCTATTCATAACATTGTTTCGTATGGAGATTTTATGGCTGTGGCATAAGCAAAGATTGAAGTTTAAAGGTGTAATGTTCCAGAGATGCAAAGAGAAGCTGAACACTCTGGCGATCAGCGTGATGAACCAATGGCCCGGAGTGCGGCTGCGTGTCATCGAAGGCTGGGACGAGGAGAACTCGCATCTAGAAAACTCTCTGCACTACGAGGGCCGCGCGGTCGACCTCACTACCAGTGACCGCGACCGCTCCAAGTACGGCATGCTCGCGAGACTCGCAGTGGAAGCCGGCTTCGACTGGGTCTACTATGAGAGTCGATCGTACATACACTGCTCCGTCAAGACAGGTACTTTTCTAATTTACTGTATATATACTATTAAGCAAAAACTATAATAATTAAAATGTGCGTAATAAAATAAAAAGACCTTTAGTAATATTTATACGTATTTCATCATTTGATCATCTTTGATAAATATTCAATTTTTAATAAAAATAAATGTGTAATGCAAAAGAGGTCAATTTAATAAAATAATATCAGAGAGATAATACTTGTTACGTTAACAAACGATTTCATAACCGCGCTGCCTATCGTATTGCACACAAACGCGTTTAAGTCTTTTGTATGGACGGCGCGACACATCGTTCGTAGCCCTATTGATGAGAACTATTTCAATTCGATACAATGTTTGTATAATATTATTGGTTCATACTAGTTCCACATATATACGAAATAAACGTATATGTGGTGGTCTTAATAACATTGAATGACTCAAATTTGTTTAAAATATCTGGAAAATGTGTTTGTTTTGTGGTTGTCATTATTATGTTTATTAACGTTAAAAGTTAGTACAATTTTGCTAATTTAAAGTCATATATAACATCTAAATGTGCTACATTGCCTTTGCTTGTTTTCTTTCTGAACTAAAAAGATTATGTCATTGTCCATTATTCGCTCATTTACGATGATGACGGATTTTCCGAAAAGAAAATCCACAAATGTGTTAAATCGTTACTGAAATACATGACAAAATGTTATTGTAATATGACATTAGATATATTTCACTAATGTAGTGCCTACGTGCCGCTGCCGAAAGAAAAATGTGGTTTCCCTGAAAATGTTTACACTAGTTTACGTTTAACGCTGGCAAGGTGCTAAAAATTGTCGCATGGGAATGCCGAGTGCTTTTCAATTACGGGTACATAACTGTACAATGTGGGCTACAAGCTTCGGGACCGGCCAAATATATAGTTGAACTTTACAAGAAGAATGCATCTCAGACAGCTTCCCGCGCCCGCGCCCCGGCGGTGTCGATCAAACGGACGAACGAGCCTCTTGTTAGCATCCCTCTCGTTCACACACGACGAGAAAACTATAATCGTCTCTTGCGCACACGGCCGCATCGCAGCCAATCCCCCACTTCTATAATTACACCGGTGATTCAATGGCTACTTATATCTATATATATGTATACGGCATAACGATGAGAGAAGCGCGTATTTATATGTATGCTTGTGTTTTTAGATATTATGGAGGCATTCCAGCGTGTTCGCATAGTTCTAATTAATTTCGCAGATAATTGACTTAGTGTTCAGGACTTCAGAAGTCTACTAAACGTTTAATGTTATCACGATTTACGATGCATCACACATTCAGATTTTTCGATTATAATACGTTAATGGTTTAATTACGACAATACTGATTTTATATTTTGTGTTATCAAATAACTAATTTTCCTTGTCTCGTCGCTGAATGTATAAATTGACGTAGGTTCTTACGCATTTCATTTAAGTGTGAAGGATTAGTTTCTATGTAACTTTAATAATTGTGTTATTCAGACTTGTGTAGATCTTAATGATTAGAGGTTCTCTCTATTTATTTACGATTACGTCTTACACGAAGTCATTAATTCTCCGCCAATAGTACCAATTATATTAATAGTAAATACATGCCCCAGGTGCAAAATGCAAATAAGAAGTAAAACTGTGTAAACAATTACACCAGTTACATTTTAATATCTAAATATCACTGAACAATCTTGATCGATTTTGCTGATTTCCATCTATTAAGTGATAAGATTTTAATTAAGTTGAAACATTAGTCTGAGGAGGTACTACTTAGTGGTTGTTTAATTATAGAATGCACATATTTTAAATTAAAATAAAAAAAATATTTTAGCTTTGATTCTCTCTCTCTCGCTCTCACTGATATTAAATGCCCAAACTTTAAAATGAGAACCTCGTTGTGTTTTGTTGTGTAAGTAAATTAGTAAATAATTAGTTGCTTCTTAACAGTGATGCCCGTGGGAGCTTGTGACCTTCGGTCGATGACACGTCACATACTCGGAACTTTCCAAAATGTAGCTCTTCAAGAATCCTACTTTCATAGCCTCTTGTTAAGTAGGATCCACGAGTTTTCGAAAGGAATGAAATCCTTACACACACAAAGGATTCACGGTATTAAAAAAATATTTGGTTACATATATTTTATGTTTGAATGAGTTTTGCTTCATGCGTAAATTCTGTAGGCATGTATTGCTTCATATTTACCGGTTTTGGAGGTCTCGTTTGAGGCCTAAGAAAATTCAGGTCTAAAGTAGTAGTAGTAGTAAAGCGTTCATAATATTTTTATTATTATAAATTTTATTGAAAGTTGATATCTAAATTCGATCATGTGCCTTCGTCTTATGGCGGCAACAAATAAAAGCCGTAAATATACAAAAAAGATACCTAAAGTCATCCTAAAACGATAAAGAGCATTCATTGTTTCAAAAGCTCGACCACTGATATCCGACGGAGTCTCCCGCGGTCGCAGGCAATTTGTTTCGATGTTTATTCATTTATTCCGGCGTTTTGTACGATCCGAGTCTTTTAGTATTAATTTGGATCTTATAAATAATTAATGTGCTTTGTGTAGGTATTTGTGTTGCGGTCGTGGCTCTTTGTTGGTCGCGGTCAAGGCCGGATCGCGCACGACCATCCACCGCACCTTATACTCTCCCCTTAAATGTTCAAATCTTCGTCAATCTTAAAAAAATGTACCTTAACATATGGCCAGCCACGACGGAATGCCTCCGTGTTATTTCTATGTCAGTGTTTCACATTTGATTTCATTTGTCTGATGATATTTCATCAACATTTTTGTGGTACCTATTTAATATTTACAAGTCCAATTAACATAATACGTACTTATTTGTAATTTTTTTAGCGTCCTTATGTGGAATGATTAAGACAATTAACACAAGTGCAATAATACCACACTTAATAAAAAGATACTAAACCTGAGGAATTTAATGAATAGTCATAAATATTTAAAGGCAGGAACATTTTTCGCTCTATCACATGGGATGAAAAAGAGACAGAGAAAAACAGGCCCATTATATGCTCGTATATTAAATTAAAGCATTTAGTGATCAACTCGGCGCCAATAAAACTATGCCGAGCGTTAATTTTTTGTGTTCGAACTCGATTAATTGATTTCATTGGTCGGTGATGATTCTTTTTTATTCCGTTCATTGCCTTGTGGTATTTATACTTACTAACGTCATCGGTTTAGGCGTGCACTTAGACAAATTATACATCTAGTCAAACTACATAATACTTGTGTCCAAATTAGTCGCCTACAAGGATCTTGAAGCGGACATAATTTGGGTGCTTTTGCTATTTGTTTTTTTAAACTTAGTATACTTGAATGTATATGTTTAACATAAAGGAATAGAGGCACATTAGTAAAATGTAAGCGTTTTATATTCCATAAAGTAGCAGCCGTTTTATCAATTATAACATCAGTTGCGATAAATGTTCTGATGCTAGGCGCAAGCTAGTGGTTGTGCAACATAGCATTCTTAAGTAAGACATTAATACTGCAATGTTTTATGTATCAAACAAGATGCATTCGTTCATATTTTCACTTTTTGCTACGATTAAGAATTCTTTGAAGCCGGCGGCGGATAAAACGAGACGTTAAATTATTTCTATTGGCGTTGCTCACTGTAACGGGGACATAAAATCAATGTAGATTTTTATCGTGACAAGTGTTGCTTCTAAATCGATTCTACGAATTTAAACAATGCTTCGGGCAGCGTAGGAACAGTTAAGGTCCGAAGAGGCTCGCGGTAAATGGGGCGTGACCGACGGCGACGGGACAGGTCACGATTCACTACATGTCACCACCCTAGCGTCTACTGAAGGACGAATTTTTAATAGGATATGGACATGTAGTTTTATGGACATACCTTGGTACCTTGCGTAAGAATGTGAATCATTCGAATGTGAAGGAAACATTTAAAACTATTTCATTTAAACGCCTTTTTCGTGTCTATCTACGTTTACTTTTAATCCGTGAATATAAGGTACTAGCATTTATTTTTATACCTCTATATGACCAATTAGCGTTTAAAAAACAACTTACTTTTTATTATTAAAGTCTTATATGATGTTTAAAATCCAACTTATGTTTTCTTGCAAGAAGTGATTTTTAATGAATACCTAAATAGTAATAATTATATTAATGTTTTGTTGCGATTTATTGTTATTTACGCCACCGCAGACTACTTTAAAGCATACCATATTAATTAATATGAGAGTACAATCGTATATCAGTGTCAAAGTATGTATTAAATAAATAATTATGCGTCCATTAAGTCGTAATACTGGGTTTGTTATGCCGCTTATGCCATTGTTTAAGTAGTTTTAACGCAGTCATTATTGCACACAATGTGCCGCAATAAACACATGTCTCATAAAAAGACTCAAGTTAAAGATAGCGCTTAAGTTGAAAGCGAACTAGTATGGACATACCTAACTAGCTTTTAACTCGTTTTATCATCCATGTTTTTTCTCTTAGACACAAATTCTAGTCTACATGATAAAAGTCATTTAGCAGATCAAGTTAATTAGCAAGTTTGTTAGACATAATTAATGTTTGCTTCGTGTTTACGAGTTTTAGATATGAGCTTCAATCTTTTATATACGATCATAAAAATATTTTAATACGAGGTGTTTATAGAAAATTAGATAAACAGATTGAATTAAATGTAGGTACCTAATTTGTTTATGAATGTGCAACAATTGTAAAAGAGAAAATTAATTTTGTAGTTATCAGTATTAAATAAAGGATATGATTTTTTACACCGAAACTTTCAAAAATTTTATTACTTAGGTAACTGGATAAAATTATCTTTTTTTATACTTTTCTAATATATATAATTATTTTTGTTTTCTTAGAGGAAACAGTTTTCACAAACATTAGAAAAATTTGTTGTCTTCTTGATAGGTGATTTAAATAATATTTTTATGATTCAATCTCCCATACTATTTCGAAGCTACCCGAATAGTTTCGTGCCGTACCGGAGACGTTAAAAATATGTCGATGAAGATGAGTATTATTTTTTGTAAGGAGTAAGGTAGAGGATAGAAGCGTGAGTGAGCGATGTTGCGCGGTCGAGCGCGCGCAGGGCATGCGTGCGAAAGGCTGGAAGGGCGCGACACCCGAGCCGCCACATCCCGGAAGACTGCGGCTTAACCCTCCGAAGTTCCCACACCCGTACCATACCGATTACTGATCAACTTATCATCTACATCAGTGACAAAATCTCAGTCAATATTCGCACGTTTACTTAATGACACGCACTTCACAGCTCTATGCTAATTGTCTTAGACCAACCTCTGTTATATTTAAACATTATGCTCTCTTTTCATTGTATATATCAACCTATTGAAAAAAGTGAGTAAATTGTAAATTAGAATATGTACAATAACAATAATATTGCCGCTCCCGATCTTGAACGTATCGGTCTGTTTCTATTTTCAATAACGAGAGAGGTGTGTGTACCTACCTATATGGTAGCTTCTTCTAAAATATTTGCTTTAACGTTTTCCCTTTACTTAAGTTAACAAGCCAGTTATTTATTTTTAATCCATTAACAATATTTTGCAATTTAACATTGACATAGTGTGCAGCTTACATACCGTCGCATATTATCAGTCCGACGTATAATTTTATATTAATCATATTTCAATTTTACTTTCGCACTCAGTTTCGTTTTATGTATCTCAGAAAAGGTTCTCAACGTCGTCGATTCAGTACTGGTTGGTAATAAATTCAAACGTTAAGATCTGAGTACCACATTACAATCCCAGACGCTACATATTGCATCACAGTCAGTGTCGCTTACTTGGCGTTTAAATCATTTTGCTACTGCGTCAATAGACACACATGTGAATTACGAATTGGCTAGATCAGTCTTTCGAGAGGCAGCTTTATAAATATTAATTTATTGAAAGACTAATACGTTTAATGTGTTTATCTACCTGCCGTTTAAACATATAAATATGTAGATATATCTTCTTGTTACGTACTTGTATGAATCTTACAATAAGAATGCTTATTTTATATTCCAAATGTTTGAATAATGCTTTAAAATAATTCAGCGTGACCAAATCAAATAATGCGTGATGCAGTTACAAAAGATGTTTAAAATATTGACAACTTGTTGGAAATTTTAACTGATCAGTACAATTTAAAATGTTTTCTCACGCTTACCTAGTACCACAGATAAAATAAATCTTCCCATATTTATTTATTTTCTTTTACATTGTAAGATACGACGCGCTACGGCCCGCGCATGAATCATAACCGGCGCGGTTTGGCATTTGCATGACCACGCGTCGGCTAATTGCTATTCTACACGATATAAATCAGATATAGTTCGACTGATCACATGCGAGCATCTCGATAGCCATACATCGCCTCAACAATAAAAGTTATGGCGAAAGGCGAAACCCGATTAATAAAAATACTTTTTATCTCGCGAAGTCCCAACTTGTGGATCGGATGTCGAACTTCTGATAAATGAAAATTTCATAATCGTGTAACTGTCAGGAAAAACTGAAAAAGCATCACGTTGGGCTGGTTGGACATGTCATCCATCGCATCGACGAGATAAATTATTAATAGTGTCACGTGCTTACATTTTATCGAGTTGGTAATGTATGGTCACGCGCGGCCGGCCGACGCGCGACGCGGCTTGGACGGCGGGGCCCGGCGCGCGCGCCGCCTAGCTCTCCCGGTGGTCCCCGCGGGGCGGGGTCTCCGCGGCCACTCGGCTGCGCCGGCGCACAAGCCCCCGCTCCCCCCTTCGCCGCAACCGCGCCGCTTATCGCCGCATCTTCAGCCTAATGTTACTTACGTCACTATGAAATCGCGTTCTGACTGGTTTTAAGGCTTTGGATTCGTTAACTTGAAGCTTAATAAGGTTGGGAATTAAAACTTAGATAAAATCTTTGCCACTGTAAATTAGATCACTCTGTACCTGCGTGTATATTATATACAATAATCATTTCAAAGTAACAATTATATTGTATTTATTCATTTATCTCATCAATTGTCGGAAACCATACATATTTACCGTACTATATTATGAATGAAACTCTTAACAATAATAATAAGATACAAGTTAAATAAAAATGTGCGCCACACCAACAAAATTGTACAAAAACGCAAAGGTGTCCGACGCCTATTCAATAGCTCGTGTGATGTGTTCACCGGACAACAAACGCATGTTGACAATAAGTGCTTGACTTTGAGCAAAATCTAATTTGTGTAGTTATTGTGTAATGCGATCCGCTCCAAACCTGGCTTTGAGAGCAGTCCGTGAACAAGGATCGACTGAATTTATCGGTCGGTTACACAACAAATCAAAATTTAACGAGTTCGCGCAAACCGGAGGCTTTGCAGAGAATCTTTAGCCGTGCTCATTTGCGCGTGTAATTGCACCACCCACTGTAACAGTAAGTTAACTTAAAAATATAGACAGTTAATGTAATTGTTAGAACGTAACGAGCTAACAGTGGCGGTGCGGCGGTGCCCACTGGCCACGTTTTTATTTCGGTTTTAAAGTTAAGCCATTTTTATTTACCTTTTGAATACCATTAACTTGCACGTAAATAGACACTTTTTTGCTGAAGAAACCAAGGACCTTAACGATTTAAAAGATTACGTACAGGTACAGTGTAAGCTGGACAGGGATTTAAATAAATACTATTAGATAATGTACAAACAAAGTTTTGCGAATCAGGTTATTGTCTAATTTTTTTAGTAGCTTTTTTGAACAAACAATGAGTGAAAAGACTTCGAAAAATAGATTGAATTAACTTATCTAGCGCTTAAAAAGTTTGTCGAGGAGATTATGGCTCATACTTCCTGGAACACATTTCTTCATTTATTAAATTTGGTAAACGGGTATCTGAATAACATTGGAGCCAGCAGCCGGCCCATACCAACTGTGTGTTTAACACAAACTCGAGCGCGGTGGTTGGTTACCGATAACCTGGGCACAGTGGGAGCCGTCCGCGATTCTCTTTTGTTTCGTATCTTATCCGATTTTAATTACGGGCGTAGAGAAATCTCGTTATTCCTTAAAGGGATATGACTGCTTCGAGCTAATTTACTATCGTACCTTGCACGATTTTATGTTCTCAATTTTATTTTATTGCTTTCAGTTCACAGGGTGTTGGCATAACATGCCGTATTGTGTCTACAAAAGTTTGAAACTATTGTTAACAGTTAAATGGTATTTATCTTATTTTTTCTATTCTCTATTACAGAATCTTCCGTGGGAACCGGTGCAGGTTGTTTCCCTGAAGGTGCTATGGTGTACACAGAGAAGGGCCCTCGCGATATCACAACGTTACGAATAGGAGACAAAGTGCTGTCGGCCTCAGACGACGGCAAAATGATTTATTCTGAGGTATGTAAGCGTATTTATTTGTTTCTTTAATTAGCCATTCATTAAACTTAAACATTCTTCCTGTGTGTTCTCGCCTTAACATGGGACAATTTTTTTAAATAATTTATTTGCCAATAATGTAGATAACAGATCTTTCAGTATTTATAACTTTCTCAAAGGATGACATAATTCTATTTACAGGTGTTAACTTTCATCGACCGCGATCCGAATGCTACACGGCAGTTCATTGAAGTGACAGCAGAGAACGGTGTGACGATCACAACTACACCGTCGCATCTACTGCTGCTAGCGGCGGCTGATGGGTGGCGGGAGTCGTTCGCGTCCAATGTTGAGATCGGGGACGTACTCCTGACGAGAGGACCGGCCGACGTTATGCGGCCGTCCAGGGTCGTAAAGACCCGTATGTTGCCGAAGCGCGGAGTGTACGCGCCTTTGACAAGGACTGGCACGATCATTGTGGACGACGCGTTGGCGTCGTGCTACGCGCTGGTCCGGAGCCACTCGCTGGCGCACGCGGCGATGGCTCCGCTGCGGTGGATGGCGCGGTGGAGAGGCTCTAGCGAGCTGCCGCGCGGCGTGCACTGGTACGCGAGCGCTCTCTACTCGGTCGGGGACTTCGTGCTACCGACCTCGTATAGGTATCGCTAGCGCAGTGAGTGAGTGCTGACAATATGTGGTCGGTGTGAGAATAAACCGCACGCGGGACGTGCACAAGGACACTGTTGTAAATATCGATCGTGTAAATAGTAGAGTGAGTATGACAGACTACGATATGTAAATACTTGGGTAGCGAACATCAAAATGTTTAATATTATATATGCTCGTCGTTAACGGGCTTTACTTACCCCATTGGAATTTATTTATTAAGTAATTTAAGAAACTTTTTGCAAATTTTGCATATTATTTAGTTAACTTACGAATATTTTTTTGTAAATTGTATCGGTATTGTTATTCTGCACAATGCAGAAATACTTAAATGTATGCGCTTATGTTATTTTAAGTTACTGTATAAAGATTAGGAATAAAATTAATTCACTTCTTTAGCAAATCCGAAGAATAATATTTGTGTAATCAAGGGTTTTGATTGCAACAGTGCAGTGTTCGTATGTTCGGTACGAGATTCAGCTGTAACCAGACATTCCATAACTCTAATCCTTCATCTTACACACGTTAGAAATGATGAAATTGTGATCTTGGTACCTAAAAACGTGCCTTAAGATTTTATTTATTGTTATTTATAAGCTAGGTGTCTATTTATGAATTGACAAAAGTATTTAGGTCTAACTTATTCTATTATGTCCGATACCGTCTTTATTTCTAAGCAACTATTTATTTAATACTCTTAATAATCTTCCAAGTTTTCTTTCAACGCTTGACATCGTTTATTATTTGCTTTAATTTCAAAGTATCCTTGTTGTTTCTCTAACAATGCATGACTTGATGATAGTACTAATACTCGCGCGTGTCCTGCGGATACGACACGACATGTGGCGACTTTATAGATCACTTGTTAGATCTTGAACTGAAGTATGGGTTCCTATAGATTGAATTTAGTGGAATGTTGTAAGACTTGTGAGTGCAACGATAATTTTTAGAAATAATTTCTTAGGACAAAATTGTTTGAATTATATTTATTGTACGAAACATTCACATCTGTACTAATTGCTAATTGATTGATGTCAGCGACAAACGTTAACTAAACTTCTAAGTTATAAAATAGTAATTAGTGCTTATGTAGACTATACTAACAAATTTTATAGGTACATACATAAATCGGAAAGCTTTAACTAATATTTGGACAATACATTTATGCCATATTAATATAACTTAGTTTAAAAAACTAAATGCAGTGGGTGTAACAGTGGCGCCCTTTTCAATGTACATCAGTGGAGAGTTTTATTTATAGTTTGATATCATAATATGTTGGCAGTCACCGTAGAATTAAATGCTTATAAATATGTAGATCTGTCGAAGATTTAAAGATTTTCTTTTTTTATCTGTCTGCGTATTACCTTCCAAGCACTTATCTTTTTCCGTTATGGTCTAGCAGATAAATGGGAATAAAGTTTTAATGAATAGGCAAAAATGGTTAATTACAAAGCTGAAATGTTAAGAACAAACAGTCACTCTAAAGTTGTATGTCACTCTGACGTAGAACAGAAGGTCAATAGTTCGTCATAGTGCGAATATTTTAATCAAACATTGCCTTAGTTGTGCCTTAACTTTGCCGTTATTTACGTAATATGCCTATACCAACACATAACGAGTTAGAACTAGTATATAAGTGCTATTTCATTATCTGTTTACTATGTTAACTAGGAAATGGACATTGTTACATTATATTTTTCAATATAAACTGACGGAACTATATTCCAAACGTATGATATTTACCTGTTAGGAAAACAGCCCTGTATTTGTAGTATAAATATTTAAAAAAACGAATAATATAAATTCACATTTATCTTATGAAGTATTTATTCCTAACTTTTTAAACCACGTTTAAATTTATAATTGATAAAAATAAAACTGTTTTATGGAGTAAATAATTTCGATGGTGTCTTCAATACAGAATTATAAATAAACCCTCATTCGATAATTTATATTCTTTTTTTCATTTTTGTCAGATACAGTTTTAAAGTATGATAAAGAGAAGTTGTATTGTTATTGTTATTTTTGCGGTTCACCCTAGTATTCAATAAAAAGCTTTTAAAAAAGGCAACAAGATTAACGGTAAACTTAAGGATTATATACAAAAAACAGATTAGAGACTCTTTTCCTACAAAATGTTTCATAATTACAAGTAACTAAAACGAGTGTGTTGTTTAAGTGAATCGTTACAATTTCTGTGCTTCCAATACGGTGCGTAGAAAACTCTAGTAAATATGTATTGTATCCATAAAAATAAGTGAAAAACCAATGTATGATACAACGATACGTAATTATACTTTTACACTATTTATTTATTGACGTTATATTTGTATTAATATATAAAAATGGCGTTCAGTATCCACGCGATAGTAAGTGGACTACTGATGTTTCAGAGCTTCTTGTAAAGAAAGTTAATGTTGAGGAAATTGTTTGATGTACCACTGTCGTGTTATCAAAATGTATTATAATATCAAAATAAATAAAATGTTGGCTTTGTGGACATAGTTTTTTGTTTGATTTCAATTAATAGAACATACCATCCGTTATGTAACAAAACTAATGAATTTCTTGTGTCAAGTTCAACAACATTCTATGCAGTTTGGTCAAATTACATTTGCATGCTAAAAATCACACAATGATAAATACTGTTAAATACACATTTCTGTACTGTAATGTGTACTATTGCAAATCTTTATTGCATTGACTGTCGGGGTTCAATGCCTGGGTAAATTACTATAACATACGTAGCACCTTCCAGAACTCATAACACTAGTGGCTGGCTTCATTGCATCCAAGTGTGGGAGAGCCATGCTTCGGCACAAATGGGCCGGCTCGACCGGAGTGATACCACAGCCTCACAAAAAACGACGTGAAACAATGCTTGCGTAGTGTTTTGTCGTGCGAGTGAGGTTACCGGAGCCCAATGACCCTACCCCCCCTTTCCCGAATCCTTGAATCCCCAAAAATCCTCAAATTCCTAATCCCAAAAGGCTGGTAACGCACTTGTAACGCCTCTGGTGTTGCAGGTCTCCATGGGCGACGCCGATTGCTACAGGGTTATATCATAAATCATAACCAGAAAAGTATTTCATGATTTTCAGCCCGTGAGAGTATATTGTCGGACTAAGAGCGTTCTCTACAAAAAAGGGGATTGCTAATAAAATTGTCGTAATCTTCACGCTTTTCAGGCGAGTTGGAGAGTTTATCAGAGAGCGGTATCAGCTTAATACATATGTCTGTAGTTCATTAGAAAGTGCTTGTGACATCCACGGGAAGACTGGAGGTGGTCACAAAGGTATGCTACTCTGTATAGTGTTATAAGGACAGAACACAGACTAAATCATGCACTATGTACAGAATTGTATTATTTAGTGACGCTATAAACTTTAGACTTCACGTAATATTGGGTTAAGCCTAATATTAGCGAAGCTGTTCGAATTGCAAATCTATAAACGATAGTTTGTTTGTCTGTCGCTTTGAAGCGTGCCAATAACACGTTTCCTGTTACTGACTCACGTTAGTAACTCATTTCATTTCATTGTTATTGTGTCAGTCTGTCTGTTAACAATGTTCTGAAATAAACATAGGTAAAGGGGCTTCAGCAACAAGCCTCAGGCGTTACAGTAAATATACACATCCGTTCCATTTGTTGATAACATAATTATATGTATAATTTATTTAGGCTTTGCATGCTTTCTAAGTTTGTGGAGCATAACAATAAGTGTATATCATGAATACGAATGAACCGTTAGACTATATGCATATAGTCAAGCCATTTTTTCGGTGTGTAAATTTTGGTGAATTATACTTACTAATTGTCCAATAGCGAAACATTTGCAACCTTCATGACATAAACAAGGTAGTACATTTTACAATTTGCCCTTACTTAACACAAAACTAAACATACACTGACACACGTTTTACACAGAAATTAGAACTAGAATCAGCAATTATATTACGTTCTCACTTTTGGCGACTTTGGAATTGACAAATGCGTCAATACTGACTCTGCTGGTGTTGAATGACTGTTTAGTTTTCGAAGAAATGATGCGTAGGTTGTGTTTGAAAGTTGGCGTGATCTATGAACTTCGAGTCGTCCGCCCGCCCACAGCAGTACGAATACATTTTACACAGTTCACAGGTAAAATTAGAATTTTGGAGTACTCGATGCGTAAATGTTAATGTTTGTGAATACCAATTACCATTAGAAAATGAAACAATAGTTAAATCATAGGTAATTAACACATGGGTTGAGTTTGGAGCTTGCTTTTGTAAACTTATATCAACATTCGTAAAGGTTCGTGATTTCTACGGAAACAAGATCGTAATACAAAATAATTGTTCAATTTTGTTGACCTAAATTGACGCGTAGGATGAGTTTGGACGTCAGTGTAAATTTGTGAATGTTGAACGAAGCGTCCGCCCACAAAACTACGAGTAAATTTGACATTGGCCTTGTGGTTATATGAAGAGACGTTACTAACCTCAGTTCCCATATACCTCTACCTATGTACGTAATTAGAATTGACAGAGGATTTACTTAAGAAGCTGTTTCGCTCACCAAATAAGGTCCAATCTTGGGTAAATCTGCCTAGATAGATTGATTAGTAGGTAAGTCCTAATTAACTAAAAATTACCAGTTACTCACATGAGTATTTTGAGAAAAGCTCTTCTACTTACGAGTCAAAGAGGGACTTTTACTCATGAGTAGCATGTGCGGTCCCGGCGATGTCGCGCAACTTCCATATGTTTACGGGGGTACTCGTCATTTTTAGTTAATTCAGTATGTCTCACGATAGTTATTATAAAGCCTAATTCATTGATTAAAGGTAAAATTCAATTTGTTTCATATTTAAAGGAATGGTGATAGAAGTTTAAAAATAAAAGTTTTAGGGTACATTTCCTGGTACGATAATCAAAACTATTAACAAATATAAATCGCATCGCAGTAAATTGTATCGCAGTATGTGGAACAGGATACAAGCGTTTATGCTTGTTTCCTTGATCTGAGTCGCGCATTTGACACAATAAATCACGACCTGCTATGGAGGAAACTAGATAGGTTTAAAGTGGAAGCTGGGGTTGTTGGATTGATTAGATACTGGTACTCTAATCAGTCTAACAATGTCAGGTGGGAGACCGCGATGTCGGAGAGCTTTAGGCTGTCTTGTGGCGTTAGACAAGGTGGGTTAACCTCTCCTGATCTATTTAATGTTTACATGAATGACTTGATTGAGGAGCTGAGTGGGACGGCAGTTGGGCTTAGGCTTGGTGATAGGTATATCAACAACTTGAGTTACGCTGATGATATGGTTCTGCTCAGCCCCTCAATCAAAGGTATAAGAAGACTATTGGCGATTTGTGAGAAATATGCGCGAGAACACAATTTAGTATATAACGCGAAGAAAACTGAAATGCTTATATTCAGATCAGGAAGAGGTCCACTTAATGTCCCACCAGTTTGGCTAGGAGGTCAGATTGTTAGAATAGTAGAAAGTTTCAGGTACCTTGGTCACATGCTGACGTCAGATATGAAGGACGATGCTGACATAGACAGACAACGCAGAGCATTGTCAGTCGTTGGCAATATGATAGCTAGGAGATTCTTTAAAGCCAATGCCCAGACGAAAGTTCACCTATTTAGAACATACTGTCAAAGTTTGTACACGTGTCAACTTTGGACACGTTACACGAGGAGGTCTCTGGATGGTATTCGTGTCCAGTACAATAACATCTTCAGACAGCTAATGGGTCTTGCCCCGCACTGCAGTGCGTCGGGTATGTTCACAGAAGCGAGGCTGGACACGTTTAATGCTATACAGAGAAAGCGAATCGCTGGATTCTTGTCTAGAGTTGGCACTTGCACAAACAGTATCATCAAGGAGTTACACAACCGATTGCATGCCACGTCTGTATATAAAAAATGGATGCAAATTGCAGCGTAATGCTGTTCATGTTATTAATGTTGTTATTGTGTTTTAGTTTATGATAAATTGGTTTCTTTTTTTTTTTTTGTTTGTCTCTTTCTTATTTTTTCTAGATAATATAAGTATGTGCTGTTTTTTTTTTTTGTTCCTAGTAGTATAAGATATGGAATGTACAATTCCGAAATAAAGAATTTATTATTATTATTGTATGTCTTTACCATTCACGGGACCACAGGGTCCCGGTCATTTGGGAGGCATGCGAGGGGCCGAAGCCAACTGCGCAGAGGCCCTTTAGACAACTTTAATATAAATGTAATGGACACACAAACCGGCGACTATCCCTGTATGCACTATGGAAATGCACCCAAGGACAGTCTCCGGTTAGTGTAAAACTATTGAGGATAATGGAAAAAGAAGATAGGGCTATGGATGGGTTGCTGTGGACTGGAAAATTGGGAACTATGGATGACTATGGCACCTGCCGAAACAATGTAATTAT